GGCAGCCTATGAGTATATAAGAGGCGAACATCAGGAGCTGGGAGAGCATCTGTTCACCAAAGCACTCTGAGGAAGACAAGGAATAATGGACATAAACTGCTAAAAGATCACTTCAGATTTGACTTAAGGAAAAACTTCTTTATGGTTTGTGTCTCCAGAGTCTGGAACAAACTCCCCCCAGAGTTGGCACAATTACCTACCCTGGAGATCTTCAAAAGATGGCTGGATGCACACCTTGCTGGGGTGATCTGACCCCAGCAGTCTTTTCCTTCCTACCTAAGAGCAGGGGGGCTGAACCTGATGATCTCATGAGGTCCATTCCAGCCCCTAATGTCTATGAAATCTATGACATGATCGGAAACTGGCTTATACCCATAACAGAACAGAAATTCAGCATGTGTAGATTTGTTTAAAAATGGTGGAACCTGGTCTTAGATTTGTTCCCCCTCTCCCCACAACCCTACATCAAAGGGTGAATGTGTGTTCTGTTTGCTACTAATCTAAACTACACCACTTACAGAAAACCACGTAAATTAGATTAATTCTGCCTCAGGGTTTTTGAATGTCTGTACTTAGTCTCTGTTTCTGTCTACTGATGATCTCTTGTGCTGTACTAAGCTTGTAAACTGTTTGGGGCATGGAGCATTGTTTTATTATGTCATGGTAGAGTGCCAAATACAGTGGGATCATACCTGCACCATCAACATATTATGACCTTTAACTATTCAATGTGATAAATGCTAACTATAACACAGTATATTGCCTTTAATTGTTATTTATAAAAGTACTGAACAAAGATTCAGTTGCAAAAAATGCTGTCATCAGGCAAAACATGCTATTTCATAGAATCATAGAAGTAGGGTTGGAAGGGACCTTGCAGATCTTCAGGTCCAACCCCCTGCCTGGGCAGGAAGAAAACTGGGCTCAAATTACCCCAGCCAGGTAGGCATCAAGCCGCTTCTTAAAGACCCCCAGGGTAGGAGCCAGCACCACTTCCCTTGGAAATTGGTTCCAGATCCTAGCCGACCTAACCGTGAAGTAGTTCTTACGGATGTCTAATCTAAACCTACTCTCCAGCAACTTGTGGCCATTATTTCTTGTTATCCCGGGGGGCACTAGGGGAAACAAGGTCTCCCCCAAACGCTTCTGGTCCCCCCTAGTGAGTTTATAGACGGTCACCAGGTCCCCCCTCAGCCTTCTCTTGTGAAGGCTGAACAGGTTCAGGTCCCGTAACCTCTCGTTGTAGGGTCTGCCCTGCAGTCCCTGGATCATGCGGGTGGCCCTCCTCTGGACCCTCTCAATGTTGTCCACATCCCTCTTGAAGTGGGGTGCTCAGAACTGGACACAGTACTCTAGCTGTGGCCTGACCAGTGTCGCGTAGAGGGGGAGGATCACCTCCTTGGCCCTACTTGAGATGCACCTGTGGATGCACAATTGGGTCCGGTTAGCCCTGCCAACCAAGATGAACATGGGCCGACAATGCAAGGTCACGGAGTCAATAATGACTCCAAGATCCCTTTCTGCCTCCGTGCTCTCAAGAAGGGAGTTTCCCATCTTATAAGTGTGCTGCTGGTTACTACTGCCCAAGTGCAGCACCCTGCACTTGTCCGTATTGAAACGCATCCTGTTTTTGTTAGCCC